TCTTTGTTGCCTAAGATGTCAGCAATAACAGCATATTTTTGAATAATTCTTTTTTTAATAAAAAGCCCTACACTTACGTCTCAATTTAAACTATATATTTTCACGCTATTAAACTTAGGGAGTAAATATTTTGGATAAAAACCCTAATGTGGGAAAGAGACCATACGTTGTTGCCAACATCAAGAAAGCAAGATTGCCGAGGTTTGTCACGTTATGTCATTTTAACATTTGCTATTGTAATTTGTCAAATGTAAACAATAAACTATTTTTTTATACTTTCATGCGGATGAAGCCGCACGGGAACACCTAGTATAAAAATAAAACGTATTATGTAAAAAATAGAGCACCACTGGCTGCAGAATTGGACTCGAGCAACCAGCAATTAATATTAATCTTTGTTTTATTTAATTTTTCAAGTTTTATGTTTTTAATTTCAGTCCATGCCAGTACCCAGTACTTGATAACCAATATCAAGGTGATATCTTCGACATGTCATAAAACATTAGACGTCTACTTAGCGTCTTTGATAGCAATGAGAAGGGTCAAGCAGTGTTTGTACAACGGGTTTGGACAGCCAGAATACATAAAAACCACTTTTAGTGTCCTTGTAAGACTTATGCTGGGTTTCTAAAGTCCATTTATTTTGTCATTACCTAGTGATTCATTAGTGGGTTTCTAAAGTCTCCATTTATTTTGCCATTACCTAGTGATTCATTAGTGTTAGGATGAACTAATTTCTGAGGAGTAAAACTCATGTAACGTAGTTCGGAAACGCATTTTATGATTTTATCGAACCTAAAACATTAACGACTGGTTATATGTACCTGGGAAGCCGGCCATTAGACAATACATTTTTATGCATGCATTATAGATGATACTAACAGTACAAATTTTAAGTATATTTCATGTAAATGTTTCTCAAAAATAGCCGTAGCATAACTTATTCACATTATAAAGGTTTGAAGGTTAAAGAAGTCGCAGTGTATATTTTTACGAAAGTAGAAAAGGTAAAGCGTGAAGAGTGTAAGGTGCGCAGGTGGCATGTGAATAGACCCTAATGGTAGTTTCACACGAGGGTAAAATAGTGAGTTTAGGTAGACACTGCAGTACTGCTACTGTTTATTCACTGAAAATATAATAATGGCAGTACTGTACTGTATACTACTCTGCCCTACTATCCTAGTGTGAGACTAGCATAATGGCGATCACAAGCGGTCGCTGTTCGTAACTTGGGCTCTGAATAATAAATTGAGCGCCAGTTAGTCGGGACACGTGGGCGAGGACAGCAGGGTTGTCCGCCTACGATGCTCGCCGCGACACATTTTATATTATTTTTAACATTGCATTTATTTAAATTATGCAGATACTTTGATTCTTTTTATTTAGTTTATTTTATATTTTTTTACTGCATAGAGAGCTAACTAACTTAAGGAGAGCGTAATTAAGGACTCGCTAAATGTAGATTTAGTACGCGAAATCTGCCCGAAACGGATCGCTTTATCTTTGAAACGTCTCTGAGTGTGGAATATAGTTAACAACTCACCTTGACATTGTGTATCCTTAATTATAAAAAGCAGGAACGCTGCGATAGTAACAATCCTCCAGCGTCGTCTTCCCATTTTGTATGTTTCACCGTTTCATTTATGTTCTCACTTGTCACCCTACTTGTACAGTTCCTCCTCTACGTCATAGCTGCTGTGTAGAAATCACGGTCATTTGAAATATATCCCCACTGCTTTTTTACATCTGAAACAAAGAAAATCAGTTTTAATATTTTAGAGAACAATATAATTGTAACAACGTAATTAACTTCAACATTCAGACTGAGATTCCCGCCAGAATGGCGCGCTATCTTCAATTCTTTTGATTGACACTGACAGATGTCATAGGGCCGAGACGTGTATGCCAATGACATAGTGTTGTGCCGATTTCTTAACAATATGTAGAACTTCACGAAAGGATTATTATTGTCTTTAGAAAAGCATTTGAAATAATTGTAATTATACATAGCAATCATACCTATACAATATTGTTTTCTAACTTTTCCGGTAATTCTTCTGTATGAAATTTAAATAATTCTTGAATAGCCGCATGTTTTTATGTTACTGTGAATACAACTCGTTATTCATTTAATTATTATTACTTTTGACTTCATATTACAAATACAAAAAAATATGCCCCAATATAAAAATTTATTTCACACTAGCTGTACCCGTGTGGATTCATCCAAGTGAAATTTAAAAAAAATCCTTTATTTTATTATTTACATTTGCCCAATTCTCAATTGCAATGTAAATGTCAGAATTTAAATGGACAAATGATGACAAAGGCCTTTGATATTTGATAACAATTACCGTTACTATAATAACCTTGCTTTCTTAATGTTGGCAGCCTGTAGTTTAAGGTCCCTTTTCCACGTTAGGGTTTTTTCCAATTTATTTATCCCCTAAGTTTAATAGCGTGAAAATTTAGCCTAAAGCGTGTCGTTTACGGCTTTTTATTTAAGCAAGAATAATTCAAAGATATAATGTGATTGCTGACATTTTTTGCCATGATGTAGTATGTGTTTGCGGTTTATTATATTAAGTATGGAAGTATAGATATGTATAGATTACATACGTTCTTGTTTTCAATAATAAAAATTCTGTAGCAAACGTCCCTTGTATTATAATGATTTACCGATAAAGGATAAAGAAAGTACACGGCACGACTTCTGAATTTTGATATAATCGATAAGATTCCATATAAGAATTCTGAAGCTATAACGAGTAAGCCAACATAAGTGGTAAAGTATTTAACGCGCGGTGTACGTGAGGTGATTACTAAAACGGCAGACCAATCGCAAAGATATTGAATTAGAAATGTTATTCTAACATAGGATGTATTTAATACTCATTGGTTTTTAGTTATCTATAGTAAAAAACACTAACAAAATGTAAACCCCCTTTTAATTTGAATAAAATTGTTCATTTTAAGAATTACAGAATATTCTACACGAAATTGAAGTAATAAAATTAACTTAAAAAACTGAATTTGATTTACGAAATATCGATTTTTCAATTTTATTTGACTTGAATAATATTATTAATTACTGGGACATTACAGTTGAAATCGTTATTATTTTATTCTATTTCTATTTTATATTCCATACATAATTTGTAAGAAAAACATAAAATATTTATGATTAAATGATAAACTATTACCTATTGTTATTCTATAGATTGAAAGGTTATTTATTTTTTACATATTTCTACCGCCTTTTTACATGAGTTCTCTAGGCTTATTTTACTCATTATATTCTTATGTACACAAACTATTTTTGATGGATTTTAGTCTGTTTGATTTCATCATTAAATATCAAATTACGTATCATTTTTTTCCACCATTGAGCACACATCTAATAGTTAACTATGTTTTTTATTTGATCTGTATTTGATTTCATTTTCTAATACAAGTTTTAAGATTTTTGAACTAGATGCGACGTCAGTGACTAATCACAACATTCCTTTTTTTATCGGCGGTGAATACAAAACGTAGTGAAACGTTACATTCGCCAGTAGACACGGCTGCAATGCGCACTTGCGGTGTGAAAGCGTTACGGACCGACGAACAGTTTCTCGTTCGCACTACGTTATTGACGGATACGTGTTTTAACAACACATAACATTATATGCGAATATTATACTATTGTTATACTAGTATTTTATATATAATTGAAGCTGTTTATTTTTATGGCAATATGCTCGCTACTTTAGATATTCGGATGTGGTATTGAAAGAGGTTTCTTTTATTACAAGATATTGGTAAATGAAAAAGGTTAACGTCGTAATTGAGAGATATCAATTACTTTAAAGGTTAAATGTGTGGAATACACATGCCAGTAGCTGGCATACTGGCGTACCAGATACTGGTTCACACATGCCTAAAGCTATCATGTATCAGTGGCAGGTTACTACTTATTTTTCCTAACCTCTTCTGAAGCAGTCTAAAAATCTTAAATACTATAATGTACCGTAGTATTTTCCCGGCTAATTGGTGTTCAAGGTACATTGCACAACTGCTCGGTCTCATACAAGTAAATAACGTAAGCCTAAGCGTGTCTGAGGCAGATTTAAATTGCCTCTATTGTGGTGGTTATGAAACATTCTCACGGCCGGCACATTGTCATGTGCGGGCCCATAGTTTTGCGTCACATAAATTAATATTCAATTTCGATAACCATTCAAAAGCTAGTTCTTTAATGACCGCACGATAATTAAGTTTCTTTCTGTTGGTATTGCAAAAGTCTTTTCAAACCGTTGTTATATGAAACAAGTGTGTTTAAAAAATAAATTCTCACGAACACTTTTGTTAACAATGCGTTGATGCGTTGAGCGCAGATTTTCAAACGATATTTGCTGGATCATTATAAATTAATTTGAATCAAATATTAATATCAAGGTTACATGTAATACGATACATTTGTCGTAGACAAGCCGCTTTAGCATGTTCTTTTGTTTTTAACAGGATTAGACCTCTATGTCCAGTTTCTTTTACACAATACAGCTTAAAAGATTTTAAATTCATAAAAACACAAATCACAGATTATAAAATAGTAGCAAGATCATTTGAATAAATCCATAGATTAAAACAAGGCATACTCGTAGATTAAGGCAACCGTTAAAAGCAAGGCTTACAGCAGTCGTTACCCGAAATGATCTACTATTAAGAATTGTTTATTGTCCGTATTTTTTTATTGAATAAGTGAACTAACCTCGAAATCTGAACCTAAGAAATCTCAGGGTTTTTTATTATAACTATGCGAAGGTCCATTTGACACTTTATAAATGTACAACGGTAAACACAGCACGATTCGTCAATGATCAATTTGTCGTGACTAAAAGACGTAAATACTTAACACCGATTGGCCTTACACGAACCTTCATACACTAAGTGCTATCAAATACTGAGGTATTAATTGTTTTATGGGGCATTTCGAATCGATTGTAATTCATTACTTTTATGTGTTTATAAAATGAGCTCAAAGTTCAAAGGGTCGTCTGCGAGATCGAATCAGTTATTATAAATAAATAGAAACTATTTTTATTTGCACAGATTAAAGTTAGCGTAAACTAAATGTACTTAGACGCAAATGTAATGAACTAATCACAGTTATCAAACAGAGACTAGTCATAAATGTAATGTACTAGTCACACTGATTGAACAAAGATTAGACTAGTCACAAATTTAATGTACACGTTGACCAAACTTACCGAGCAATATTTTATAGAACATAAAACGGATCATAGGAAAGACATAAACGACAATTTTTATTTACATAGCAAAGAATGATGTTAAGAGCTTTTTGTGCTCCAAGAGTGAATAATTTCACTTCTTTCTGAAGGATATCCTGTTTTGAATCCTTAACTATGAGATCATCAATTACTAAAATATGTTAAAACATCATTCAATCATGTAAATGAGTTTTTCGATTTATTACGATTATGTAGCCATCAAATGATATCAAAATATATTTAGTAGAATAATTACAATATCGTTCGTTTCGTTTTTGAAATATATAAATATATTTCTCATAAATGTGTGACCTTCTCAAGAATTCGTTAGCTTAGTGTTATTAAATCATTAAAATCTTCGCGTTAGATACGTCGGTATATTTATTTTGATGTTTTAAACCAGACTATGTGGATCAAATTTGCTTAATATATTCCGAATAAAATCATTGTGAACGATGTAGGATATAACCTATATTTACATAATATAATAAGAACACAAACGTTACACCTATAACATGTTTCGTAAAATATGTTAAAATTGCAACAATGCATAATTTTCCAGATCATTAAATTGTAAATCTTAGCAATATAATATGAAATCATTTTGATATAGCACACTATCTCTTCGTTCTACTTAACAACGCCACAAGTAATTGGAGCGGAAGAAAAATTCAGCCTTTAGTATCATAAATTTCATTAAACCGCTTATTGATTGAAAATAGATATTTTCTTGTCAAACTGTTGCAAACATGTGTGGTTTTATAACGTTTATTTAGTTTGCTTCAATACAATTTCAGATATAAATTGTTCTCCCGAAAATTTAATTCAAGAATTCTGTAAGCTTAATTCATAGATGCCTTTTTTACCTTTACAGAGTAAATTAGTAACATAGTAAACCTTTTACAAGACCCTGTAATCCTTAATAAATATTAACCATAGAACTATTTTGGGCAATGTAATAAATTATGGACTTCAAGCAACTAAGTTATAGTTGTTTTTGTAGAAAACAGCTGCTACGCTATACTAAACAAGATGAACTTTGTAAAACTTTAACGGTTTGTAACTTCGATAAAATTACAAAGAAAATTCTTTTTAAAACAAACGAATGCTTAAAAACTTTGTTTATATGAATAACATTTCGATTTTTAATCGATGATTTTTATACATGATAGTTCAAACAAAGAGTTCAAGCGGTAATAACTGTGACCTAGACTCGGAGTCTAGACTTTATGGTTACATAAACAACGTCTAGTGCCAGTAATAACCGAGCACGTTACTGCAACATCTATAAGGTTTATAAGAGCAATTTCTATTACTTATTACTCAACGAGTTTGTTTTGCACGTTTGAGGCCGAGCAGCCGGTTACCAACCTTGCCCCCTCCCTTTCTCCCCCAACCCCACCCTTCTTTGATATACACTTTCACTCGCTGCGGCCTTCCTACGTACTTTTGACAGCATTAAATAATACGGAT